TGTGCTAAACTCCTTGATCTGTGTGCCGATTTTGAGAGGATTGGGGCAGGGGGAGAATAAATGAACATGTGTTTTCTCAGGTCCATTCTCTTTCTTTGATACAGCCTTATTCTCTCCTAATAAACGTTCTCTGTTGAGTCCTATTTGCTCCAGCATTCTGCTCTTCCCTGTTACAGAAAATTTCAAAGCAGAAGTGAAGCTGGGACAAGGCCTGCCCTACAAGAGCCAAGCACAGGGGAGGATGAGGAGAGAGAAATCAGTGGGATTGGGAAAGAATTCCTTCAATCAAACAATCTCAGCTGACACCAGAGAAGGGCAACAGAGCTAGGGAAGGGTCTGGAGCACAAGACTGATGAGGAGCAGCTGAGAGAGGTGGGGGTGTTTATTTTGGAGAAAACAGGCTCAGGATGGACTTTCTTGCTCTCTCAAACTACCTGAAAAATGTTGTAACCAGGTGGAGGTTGGTCTCTTATCCCAAGTAACAATCATTAAGACAAGAGGAAGCAGCCTCAAGTTACACCAGGGGAGGTTTGGATTGGATATTCGAGAAAATTTCTTCACCAAAAAGTTGTCAAGCACTGGAACAAGCTGTCCATGGAAATAGTGGAACCACCAACCCTCAAGATATTTAAAAATTGTATAGATGTGGTTCTTGGGAACATGGTTTAATGTTTGAATTGGCAGTGCTGGGTCAATAGTTGGACTCAATGATCTTAAAGGTCCTTTTCAATCTAAATGATTCTATGATTTGATGTACATTAAATTCAGTGAGGCTGCTCCAGATCAGCACAGATTTTAATCAGGATGCCAGAGTGTGTCCTATTGAGTACAGGCTCCCATTTACAGCCAGCTGTACACCTGAACTGTTCCAATGAAGCTGCTGAGAGCTGATGTTTGAGCAGGGTCCATCTTCATTCTGCTCACAGCTGTCATTAGCATTTCCAGGTTTATTCACAGCATACCCACAGTCCCAGGCTCTGCTTGTGAAACTAATGGCATGCTAATCAACACTGTTCTGTGCATGTTGTTTAGCATGCCTGACAGGGTTATATATTTGAAAAAGCAACATGTTGGAGAAGGAAAACACCTTATATAACTTCCTCTTCTGATGTTCAAGTGGTACCTGTTTTGAAGAATGCAGGGAGCTGAATCTTCTGTCTGCAACATCCAACTTATGAGAGTTTTGACCTAATCATGCTAATGATGCCTGCCATGCCAGTGTTTTGCTCAGAATCAAAGAAATTGAAGTAGTGAAGTTTTAAAATAGCTTGACACAAAGCAGCATACATAGCACAGGTGGCAAAAGGCCTGCAAGGGGTGAAATGGAGAGGACGTGTAAAGAGACTTAGCTCACACAGTTTAAATGAAGGGAAGATGTGGTTGAGGGAAAATGAAAATCTGAGACAATTTTTCAAGAGAAAATTAGGTAAGGGCAAGAGCAATCTGTTCCAGGCTGCCCTGAAATACATTCCAGAAAGTTTTTGCCTTATATTTGGTGAGGAAGCTTTCATAAAAGGAATAATTTTCCACTGAAAGCCATTTAATCATCAGAAGGCACCCAACAAAACTCCCAGGCTACTCTTGGTTGTGAGTGAGCTGTTCTTATTGCTGAACACTCAAAGGGCTTTAGGAAATGTCATCAACAGAATTGTGTAGGATCAATACCCTCAAGCAAGTGAGTGCCTATAGTGAGAATGAAAACACACCCAACTCTTAGCCAATACTGGGAATATCTCTGGTCTTCCACAGCTGGAAGTATGGAAACTTTATCAGATTGAAGATAAAGGTTTTGGACTAGTAAAAAACTCATCTCCTCCAATATGAAGACCAAAGCAATATATAAAACATACAGGATGCCTTCTTCAGACATTATGACCCACATAAGGAGATTGAAGTGAAAAACCCACCTTCAGAGGGGAAAAATGAAGCTGTACTTGGTGAGATGGAAGAGGTCCTCTAGTTTCAGCTGCTAACACTGTTAATGAGATTTCCTTTGGAAACTCTTATTATACATATATATATTTACAGGAAACAGTGAACTCAAATGGTTTAACAAGGCTTCAAGCTGGAATAGGTGGAAAAATTGCTGCCTCTTCCCTGCTAAGACAGATCAAAGGGAAAGGTAAAGGGAGTGACTAAGAGATGCCAATCTTGCCTTCCCAGATTTTTTATGTATCTATTTTCTCTGTGCAGGAGAGACCTTAAACACTTACTCAGAAATAGGAAAGAAATGCAATGGGAAGCCTGGCCCCTGCACTGATGGATGCAGCTGTGCTGTAGCACAGGGAGATCTCCATTTTCCCAGGGAGGGAACATGCTTCCTCTGTAAATGGTTCTAATTATGCTCTAATTACTGTACCTGGAGGAAATCCTTCAGGTGCTTTGCACTGAGGTGTCACCTGTAAATGTTGATGAACAGCTGCAAATTGTTGTCAGTCATTAGGCTACTGATGAAAATGTCACCAGCCAGCTCCATCACTTTAACAGCCCCTCGGTTTCCTTCACTGACTTTTCTTTGTTCTGCAGTTTATAGATTAGTTTATAGACATAGGATTAGATCAGCATCTCCCTCTGAGAGGAGAGCATACTCAGGTGCTTCAGACAAGGGTCTGCAAATAGGGTAAGACTGGTGAGGCCCTGGCACAGGCTGCCTGGAAAAGCTGTGGATGCCTCATCCCTGGAAGTGTTCCAGTTGGATGAGGTTTTTACCTCATCTACTGGAAGTTGTCCCTGCCCATGGCAGGGGGTTGGAACGAGGTGATCTTTATGGTCCCTTCCAACCCAAGCCCCTCTATGATTCTGTGGTGATACACTGAGCATGAGCTTAAGTGGATCACAGCTGAATTTGTGGGTTCAGCTGGGACATCACCTGCTCTGCCACCTTTCCCACAGAGGTGGCCATTTGAGTTAAGATGGAGACCAGACAAGTAGAAGTTAAAGTGCCCACCATGAATCCTGAGTCCCCTGGCTCTCTGCCATGGGAGCTTTGTTGCTCAATTTTTACTCCCATTAACAAGATTACAAGATACTACAAATGTGTGAGACATATCAGTTCTAGGTAGGACATTCTTTTGACAAGTCTTAATGTTTGATGAAAAGTCCTGAGTCAGACAGCTTTTCACCCATTTTACTGCCACATGTATAAAAGATATGAAATCACAGCAGGACTGTTAACCAATTTTGATCTGGGAAAAGGAGGAGCTAGGATGAAGACATATCCTGAGGTCATGCTGTAGCACTGATGGTACAGAATCAGTTCTAAACATGTCCTCCATTCCTTGATTGATCCACTGGAGAATATTTTATAAAATCATTTGGCTGTGAAAAAAAAAAAGTCTTAAGTGCCAAATATTAGTTCTTATGTTGCTGTGGGACCTGTGTCTAGTATGAGCCCTTAGTTTTTTATTTGCATGCCAAAGAGACACAGGACATGTGTAGGTGGAATAATCTTGGATGTTCTGGTTTTTCAGGAATATGTTTTTGCTTCTGGAAGACCTGGTATAGCTCCTGTTAAATCACAAGAATCCATCAATGCTAAAACATTCCATTTGGCAAGGAGCTCTGGAAGACTGTCATACTGGAGACCTGGAGGAGTAACTTTCTAGGTCTTTCTAAGTGCACCTGCAAACATGATTAAATCTATTTGCTGAAGGCCTAGGGACATCAGATTGGTGTAGCACTGAAAATACTCTCTAGTTCAGGTTGTGTGAATGAATGCTTACAGAATAAACGTCTTGAAGATAGGAAGTGAACATACAATGGAATACTGGATTTTTTAAAACTAGTTATGCACAGTCCAGTGCAAAAATGTTCATTAAAAATAGAGCACAGTCCTGGCATCATTATTGTTCTTTCATTTGTGAGAACAGCCCCTCTACCATTCAATAGAAATTACCATAAAAAACAGATAATTTTTCACTCTTCAGAGTATTTCTCTCAATGTAGGCTTTGTTCAGATATTAAAATATTTAAGCCATCTCTAAGTGTGACTGGAAAGATTTTTTCTGCCCACTACAGTGAATGGATCATAAGGAGGAGATGGTGAGGCTGCACTGTGCTGTGCACACGCCATTGCTGGCTGCACCACCCTCCCCAGTCCCTCACTAGGAAACACCCCTTTTTCTACACCAGAGGTAAAAAGAAGACCTAAAACCTTCTCAGAAATCAACCTCTTTTTATACTTCCACACACCCATTTAGCAGCAGCACCATCACAGACACGATTCTGAGAAGACAGAGAGAGGCAGGAAAATCCAAATGAGGGCAATCACTGGGTGGTTCAGCCTTCAGAACCAGAAAAACAACCTAACATCTGGTTTTTAAAGCGGAAGGGGAGCAGAAAGCCACACCCAGGGCATCCTCCAGTGCACCAGAACCTCTGGCTGGCCAGTCTGCACAAGACAACAGCGCATGCAGAGCACTGAGCCACAATGAACATCCTCACACAGAGACAGCAACACTCTGTAGCATGCATATAAAATCATGTGCAAACAGAAAGACCTGGGAAGCATGAAGCAGGAAGACAGAGCAGCAATAATTGGTTTAATCCAGCCAAGGACTTGGCGGTGCTGGCACTCAGGGAACTGCCAGCACCCGGTGGATTCAGCAGCAGAGCCCAGATTGGTTTCTGCTGTAGGAGGCAATTTCACACTGGTGAAGGGCATTTACTTTGAAGCAAGAGCCTTGCTGTGTACTCTGTGTTTTTGTTGAAATAGCAACAAACTGGCTTTAAATATACTTCAGGGTAGCTGACAACAGAATTTGACCTGACTTCAACAAAGCTACATCTTATTAAAGGGGAAGGGATGCTATTCACAAGGAGGGAGAGCTCACTGTGCCTGTTTTTGTACAGCTGTTAAGGCAAGAGGGTTCCTGATACATGACCAGAGCTCCTGGGCATTACAAAATACTAATTATAAAATCCATCTATGTGACAATACGAGTCTAAAACACAAGCTGAAGCCCTTCTCAGTAACTTTCTCACATTTGGAATGAACCACAGACAGTCTGAAACAGAAAATTGTAAAGGTCCTGCAAAGCTATCTGAACTCAAGTTTTGGGTAAGTGCTACAGGACTTGCAGAAATATTTGTAAGATTTGCTGTAATTCAGCAAAATAATTGCTTATGCTTTGCTGTGTTGTAACAACTAGTTCATAAAATTAATTGGTTTCTTTTCAAAATACTAAGAAATGTAGATTGGCCAAAGATTTGCTCTGGGTGTAAATACGATGGAAAGATAAGTGAATGAGCTGCTCAGAGCTGTGCTTTTTCCCAGCCTCTGATCTGGACCTCATCTGTACAAGACCCTGCATAGGATCACTGCCAGCTGGGAGCACTATGTGTTGTGTGGCTATAGAGAGTGTGCAAGAGGTTTTGTCAAGACTTTTTAATGTTTTGTTGTTGATGATATATTTTCTGTTTTGCTTTTAATGAAAACCACAATTCTGAAAGTTATATTCTCCTCCATCTGTCCCTTATTTTCTGAAGAAATGAGGTTATGACATAGATATTCTCAAGTTTAGGAATTTGTTTCTGTTGCATGATATACAAGGGCATCCTTTGAGCCTTATTTTGCTTTTCTTGTGGGGGAAAAAAAAAAAAACAAAAAAAACCTGCTCTTATCCTTCTATCCAGAAAGTAGTTTCCTTCAGTAAAAAATATTCCTCTACTACAGGCTCTGTTTTAATCTGCTTTGTTGCCTGCCCAGTCCAACTGTCTTTCCTTCCAGTCTGATGTCACTTGGGGTCCTTGGACTTTGCCCTCAGATTTTTTGGCTTGCAACCCTCCACTGTTGGCTTTAGCCAGAATCTCCTCTCCTTCATTGTGGTCCCTGCTCAAAAAGCAGCCCTGAACACAAGCCACAGGTTTTCTGTTGTTATCACTCACTCTCTGTCAACACCTTCTGCTGTCAACACCCTTTATCTCCAGTTTTCCAGAGATAGGAGGGATGGGATTGAATTCCAGATTCAAGCACCTACATATAGATGTCAGCATGTAGGTGTTCAACTTTCCCTGAAGTCAGCAGAGATTTGGCCAATCAAGTCTAGAGAACAGTTCATCTCTCCTCTCCCCTGGGTCTGTGTGTGCATGCTAACACTCACCTGATGAAGCTTTGCCCAGCTGATGTGGATGGTGACACTCAGGCAGACCTTGGCTCCTGTGATAGTCCCGTGATGGGGTCAGCGGGGAAAGGTCCTGCTCAATGGGTAGGAACTGCAGGTAGTACCCCTGATTTTGGTGGTGCTGGGAGAGCTCCCATATCTTGGGAGCTTTTTCCATCTACCATATTTTTCAAAATGTACAAATTTGGATATCTGTTCCCAGCCAGACAAAAAGCACATCTGTGACATTAATATTAATAACTGGATTTTCAGGTACTCTATGCATTAGAGCCTCTTGAGGAAATAAAATAGGTTGGCATCTTTGTTTCATATGGAAAAAACCAAATCTTTCTTTGCTTCTCAGATTTCAGAGTGACTGAAATAGTAAAACACACAGAGACACATACACACCCTTCAGTTTTAGGCACACACCCAGCATAAAAATTCAGCCAGGATAATTAAACTTTGGCAAACTTACAAGTAACAGAAATGAGAGTAAATCTTGCACAATCTTAACCCTATCTGGCTCAACTAGCTCAGTTATGATGATAGAAACTTTCCTTCAATCAACCACACACGCTTCTTTCTCCTCCTTTATGTTTTCACTGACTTCCCAAGGAGAGAAGATCTTTTTTCTTATGCCTTATTGTTAAAAGTAAAAAATGGCTTTTCTTGCCTAAATAAATGAAAAGTCAGTCTTTGCTCTGCCACTGCAATTCCACTCATTCCATCTGACCTCCTCTTAGGTTACCCTTGTGTAACCCACATGACTGCTTCTCAAATCCTCACCTCTTTCAGAGATTTCCATGTGATCTGTATTGATTTCTTTTCTGCTTGTACTTCCCCATCACCTGTACATACCTAGTTACATAGATTCTTTTTCATGCTCTACATTGATAATATCTTTTTTAGGTCAGAGACCACTGTTCTGTTCAGTTCCCACAGCTTTCCAATGCAATCCCTGCACAAGACTCATCTTCTAAATGCCAGTACACAGATACCAATAAAAGACAAGAAAGACATGTACAACTAATGGCTACAAGCAGATCTAGCAAAAGTCTCAGCTAAGACATTCCAGCCATCAAAAACATGTTATTCTCTCTATTAATCCCGAGGTCAAAACACAGTTTTCTAACCTTTGCAATTAAAATGCAGCCAGACCTGATAATGAATCATTGAATCTCTCTACAGAAACTAATCACCTCTCACAGAGCATCTCTTCTCCTTGACATTCCCCTTGGCTCAGAAGTGACTCACCAGCTGCTGAGCTATGAACTTGGAAATGTTTACTTTCACACTGAACAATTTGGCCTCTGTTATAACAGAGAGTGAGGCCCAGGTAGAGAGACCAGCCCCTCCAGGCCAGAAATCTCACCCTCAAACATCACAACAATCTGCCAGTTAAAACAATTCTAAAGTTTTTACACAATACATTGAAAACTATTATTAATTAACCATTTTCAAGGCTCCTATATGTGGAAATAAATGGAAGAGATGCTACTCTGCTCTGCCTATAGGAGCTTATAATCAAAGTCAAAATCAGAAAAGATTTCTGCTTTTGCCTCAGTTTTCTGCTCTCCAAGTGTGTGTGGGACAGGACCTGTTCTGGGCTCAACCTTCTAGCAACAAGTGAGTGAATTATGGTCAGAGACCTCAATTCTGTAGCTGAAAATACAGGGCATAGGGCAAAACAGTGACTGTCCTAATTTGTGTCTCCAACAAAAAGGGATAAAAAGGGACAAAAATATGCTGGAGTAAAGAAGAGTAAGGGCTGTTTTGTTTTGATTGATTTCTTGTGGATTTATGGAAGTATCAAATTTAAGCAGCTTTTGAGATGAGAGAAGTGGATGAACTTTGTTATTAAGTCCTACACAGACATTTCAAAAAGGGTTCTTTTTCTGGAGTAGCACTGATACTTTCTGGAGGCAACATTTTTAAGACTGCTTAAGTATCCCAAGTGACCACCCTTCTCCTCTAGTGATTCCAGTCGCTTCCAATCCAAACCGTTCCATGATTCTGTTTTTGGGAAATGTCTGAGATCAGACTGACCTCTCAAGCAGAAACCTGTTTACTGCAACAGTAGAGACTGGCTGTACATTTTTATAAGCTCTGTACATTTTTATAAGGTCTAAACAAGCTATGGCACATCCTGAATCCTCCATCCTCCTATCAGTAAAGGGAAATGAAAAAATACCACCAGAGAGGAGGTTGATCACTTCCTGTAGTTCTGTACCTAGACCATTCTGACTGGGAAAACTGAGGGCTCCCAGTCTGGAAAGAAGAAGAGACATATACCTGAAAAGAATAAGTGTTTTTGAGAAGTTGGAGACCTGGAAAGCAGAAGGTGAAGATCTTGACTGGGGAAAATACCCTGAAAGTGGAGGGAGGCCTTGGAAGTGGGACAGATGCATGAGGCCAAGTCCAGAGGGACACTCAGGGATCTCACCACTAATGCCCAAGGGTTTTATGTGTGAGCACCAGCTCAGTGCAGGCTGACATGACTTCCTTCCCAAATATCCCAGGCCAAAAACTGTGTGGCTAAGTGCATGTGTGAGTCTGAGATAATGAAGTGGGGTAAACATTCTCTGTCTCCATGGTTCTTAAATAGACTCCAGCAACAAGAAACACTACAGGTTATGGCACACTTCATCTTACCCTTGGCAAACTCTCACAAGTTTCATAGATCCTAAAAATGTTACTATGGCTCTATATTTGGGGTTATTTCAACACAAATTAATTTCCCAAAGAAAGCTTCCCAAAGAAGTGGACATATTAGGTAGAGCTCAAGGCATATATAAGATACACATTCCAAACATTGCCATCATGATTCTCCTTATTATCCCTCACTGTCTATTCTAAAAGGATCTTGCAATCCATCTCTGGCAGATCCGGACTCCCGCGGGATATCAGTGACACTCTCTGTGTGTGCCTGCCTGGGGTACAAGGCTTAAGCCTGCAGGGAACATGTCTGGGATCTAACCTGACAGCTCCCATGTCGTAAATAATGGACTGATCTGAATGACAGATGCTGGTGCAGCTTAATCTCTTTGGGAAAAGGTATTCCCTGCACTACTAAGGATTGAATGCAAACCCCTGCAATTCTGATGGGAAACACTGAAAACTCGCATCCTTATTCTTGTCTCAGCTTTGAAAAAGATCCCTTCCTCACTGCTTAAGTTTTAGGGCACTTTTTAAAACTTCTTTTCCCCTAGCAGTCTGACTGGCACACAAATTGCAGTATTGCTTTGCACCCAGGGAGGCACACAGCGTTGTAATGTCATTGTTCTCCAGACCTGTCCAACAGGATTTTGGTACTCTGGATAAGGCATCCCATGGGACAGAGCACAATGCATCTTTATCACTGATTAGAGTCAGCCAGAACCCACAGTCTGAGATGCAGGCTGTTGACTTTCTGCATGAGATCATTTTACTTGGTTTTATACTTTAATGCATTAAAAAGCAAAAGGACTCATTTGGTATCTTATTTATATTTTTTTTCATTGACAAAGCAAAGTATTAAGCTTAACTTTCTGAGGCATTATACCTTTTTTTTCTTCATTACTGGGCTTTGTAGCTAGCAGCTCTGAATTTCTGAAATGATGGTAAGTGCTGCATCCTTTATTGCTCCCCCCAGCAAAAAGCCTCACGTGCAAGCTGCTGCATGGCTGTAAGTGGCTTAAGCTAAAGTCATTACACCAAAGTTTACAGTGTGCTCATAAACCTGAACCATGAAATATTTGCCAACTATAAATAGAAGACTGTCAACCAGATAAAAGCAATCTTTTCTGAAAACACTTTCTGGTGCTGATGGACAACTTCCACAGTCATTATATAAAAAATAGATAGAAACTACTGCTGCTAGCCAAAGGATTTAAGCTTCTTCAATAACTTGCACACGATCTTACTGACTTGGCTCTTTTTTGTTGTTGTTCTAGAGATGTTGATAAAACAGTCAGCC